ACGAAGGAAAACCGGAAGTGAGGCAATCCATCTCAACGGACCCCAGAGTTTAAAAACCAGGCAGGAAAACACACGGACTCTTCATCGGAGGCTGCACTGAGGATGTTACCCAGCATAGTAACGAAACGTCTGCGAAACAAGAAACCAGCTCGGCGAGCCAACTAACCTCAACACCCACAACCCGAGCTACAAATCTACTCCAAAACCTTATATACCCCCAAAAACTTTACATTTTAACTCCATCGTCCTCTGCTACTAATGTTATATTCCAAAAGATAGCTGCATTTAAATAGAATTCAAGTCTGCACTTTTATGAGAGAGCTTTATTTCTATTAGCCACATTCCATAAAGCACACCATACTGGATTCTCGCTTCCCATATTTGTACAGCCAATTCACACCCAGTTAACTTCATTAACATATCTGTCACCTGTTCCTTCATTCCATAAGTTCTCAGGCATTCCTTTAGACCATGTTAGATTGTAACATGGCTGCTGCTTCATTGCAAATACAAGTGCATCTTTGTAAAGCTAATGCTATTTAAAAACCAAGCCACACACGTTCCTCATCCTGAGCCTTGTCCCAGCTTAGAACGCTATTTCAGGGAAGGCCTCTTTTCCCAAAAGTGCAGTGTAGCCTGATATCATCTCATTGTTCAGCGTGGGATCATCACATACAGGAAAGTCTTCAAGCAGTTGAAAACCTTCTCTTTTATTCAGCAGCATCCAAAGCAAAGAAAAATGCAAAAGACTGTATTTGCTTCAGGCAGCAAATAGTGATCACTTCCCTTTCAAGCAGCAACAGATTTACAGTCAATGAGTGATCACTGCACCCAACTCACATCTGCTGGAACCAGGTGTCAGTTATTACTTGATAATACTGAAGGTGATCTTCCAATTGTTTAATGTCCTCATTTTCCTGAAGACTGTTGCATCTGTCTGAAACCTTCAGAGCAATGTTCCATTGCCGCTCTGAGAGTCTGTAAATGTCAGTCATTGTACCAACGCATTCATTTCTGATTTCTCCAGCTACTGCTGCATATGGACCTGGAAGGTCAGTTTAGCAGCTGAAGACATTAGAAGGAATGTCCATCACATCCCCTCTTTGCCTGTTAGGATTATGAGGCATGAACTGTATGGCATAGCCTCTCTTGTTTCCCTGTAACCAGTAAAGTCGTAATAGTCCTACCGGACCATAGGGCTACTCTCTCATAAAAGAGAGTGATGACTAGTGGTTTAATCTAAGGGTCACCATGCCCTTGACAGTTTAGCATAGTGCCCCATACATTGAGAATATGGAGGACACTGACAAGGAGGGCCATGGAATACCTCTACATGGACCTTTGACTAAGGGACCCTATATCAAGGAATATAGCACAAACTATGACACGTAATCACATGTTGATACATTCAATGAATGCAGATAGGTCTCTCGCCACTTGTTAGCGAGATTCTCATCCCACCGTTCCATATTTGGATGGAGAATTGGAGTTTTTTCCTCTCTATGTTGAGAATCTCATTTCTGCTGATATTGCTCTACTTTCCCAAGTGACTCACTGACACCCACATTGTTCAGGGCCTCAGAAGCATCAAAGAGACCTCAGCATCTGAGATGGACTCGGCAGATTTTGCTGCCACGATGCCTTTGCCGCCTGAAGAAGAGAATGAATTTCTTCCGAGTCACTCCAAGCACAAGAGATGAGGTACTGTGTGCTACATACCGCCCGTATCCGAGGCAGACCCGGTACTGAAATGTCCAGGAGGTGCTACAAGAGAAAGAACCAGCCCACATCCTCAGACTCATAGGGTTAGGGCTGTAGTGATTGTAATGAAGTCAGCCAGGTGGACCTCATAGAATATGAGTTCCCTGATTGGGACTGTTAATCTGGTCCAATCAGGGAGCCCTGGCTGACAGATAAAAACAGGAGCGTCCGACATCCTGTTTACTGTGAGAGCTGGCTCCGAGGGAGCTGGATCAGTGTCAAGGACTTTCCACATGTGAATAAAGATTGACTTGGTGATGGGATACTGGCCTCTGTGGAGTTATTTCAACCCCCTTTGTAATAATGGCAAACATTCCATTTGCCTTAATTACTTGCTGTATGTGCCTGCCTTTTTTGTTTTGTGTGCATGACATGGGTCATCTACGGGCTCTGGCAACATTTAGAATGGATGGGACTCCAAGGAAATCTCTCCATTTGTTGTAATCGTACCTGGCACAAAGGATGATGGTTTTCATTATTGGAGTTCAATCATTTCATTTCCAGGACATCGCTGCAAGAGTTCCTCAGGGAATGTTCTAATACCAGCAATGACCTTTCCTGCATCATAAGGTCAGAGGTGGAGGTGTTCGCTATTGATTGCATAACTTCAGCACAATCCACCTCAGATACTGAATCTGTCTGTGTCCAAATGCACCTATACCTGGACAATATCCAGGCTTAGATATCACTTTACCACGTTATAGTCATGGTCCACAACTGCCAAATAATGACCCTCTCCAACAAGTGAGAATATAATCATTTCCCTGCACCCCCCCTTCAAATTCAATGGTATTACAATCGGTGAATCTCACTCTGTCAATCTCACTCCTGGGGTTGCTATTGACTGGAATCTAAACTGCCGGTCATGTAATTACTGGGGCTACAAGAGCCAGTCAGAAGCAAGAAATTCTGCAGTGACTAATCTGCTTCCTGATTCCTGAAAACCTATCCAACATTCACAAGGCCCAAGTCAAGGGTGTAATGGAATACTGTGCAATTACCTCGATGAGTGTAGCTCTAACAACACTCAACATCACCCATCCATATCAAAGTGTTGGCACCACATCCATATTCACTCCCATCACCACTGATGCACATTGGCAGCAATGTGTACAGTCACTGCAACAAGTACCTAGTACCTTCCAAACCCACAAACTCTACCACCTATAAAGACAAGGGCAACAGATACATGCAAACACCATCAATTTAAAGCTCCTACCCAAGCCACACACCATCCACACTTGGAAATGTATTACCATTCCTTCACTGTTGCTTGGTTAAAATCCTGGAACTTCCTTCTTAATGAGCATGTGGATGTACCTACAGCTAATGGACTGCAGTAGATCAAGTAGACAACTTACTACTAACTTCTCAGGGGCAATTAAAAATGATCAATAAATACTGGGCCAGCTAGTGATGTTCATATACCATGAACAATTTTATAAAACGTCCCCAGAAGGAACAACATCATACAATTTTGCTCTATTTAAACAATGTTCTGCTTTTCTATTCTTCCTGCCAAAGTGGACAACCTCACCGTTCCCCACATTATACTCCGTTTGGCAAAAACCTGCTTAGTGATGCCCAGTGTGGCTTCTGCCAGGGCCATTCAGTTCCTATCCTCATTACAGCCTTCGTTCAAACATGGACAAAAGAGATGAATTCCAGAGGTAAGGTGAGAGTGACAGCCCTTGGCATCAAGGCTGTATTTGATTGAGTGTGGCATCCAGGTGCCCTATCAAAACTGGTATCCATGGGTACCAGGGTAAACTCTTCAGTGGTTGGAGTCAGACCTGACACATAGGAAGATGGCAGTAGCTGTTGGAGATTTGTCATCTCAGCTCCAGGACATCTCTGCAGGAGTTCCTCAGGGTAGTGTCTGAGGCCCAACCATCTTCAGCTGCTTCAATGACCTCTCCATCATAAAATCAGAAGTGGGGATGTTTGCTGATAATTGCACAATGTTCAGCGCCATTTGTGACTACTCAGATACTGAAGCAGTCTATGTTCAAATGCAACAAGATCTGGCCATATCCAGGTTTGGGCTGATAAATGGCAAGTAACATTTGCGCCACGCAAATGCCAGGCTATGACCATCACCAATAAGAGACAATCTAACCACTTCTCCTTGACATTCAATAGTGAAACCATCACTGAATCCTCCAATATCAACATCCTGAGGGTTACCATTGGCCAGCAACTCAATTCGACTTGCCACATAAACACAGTTGCTCCAAGAGCAGGTCAGAGGCTAGGATTACTGCGGCAAGTAACTCCCCTCCTGACTCTCCAAAATCTGTCTACCATCTACAAGGCACAAGTCAAGAGTTTGATGGAATACCACCCCTCCCCAACTTGCCTGGATTGGTGTATCTCCAACATCACTGAAGAAGCTTGACACTGTCCAGGACAAAGCAGCCTGCTTGATTGGCACCACATCCACAAGTATCCACTCCCTCCACCACCGATGCTCAATAGCAACATTGTGTACTATCTACAAGATGCACTGCAGAAATTCACCAAAGATCCTCAGACAGCATCTTCCAGACCCACGACCACTTCCATCTAGAAGGACAATGGCAGCAGAAATATGGGAACACCACCGCCTTCAAATTCCTCTCCGAGCCACTCACCATCCTGACTTGGAAATACATTGCTGTTCCTTCTCCGTCGCTGGGTCAAAATCCTGCAATTCCCTCCATAATAGCATTCTGAATGTTCATTGAAGTCTTCTGGCATTTTGTTGCTATCATCCACTGTCTTAGCTTTACTTCCCAATTTGGAATAATTTGCAAATTTGAAATAATACTTCTGATTTTCATGTAAGTATTGATCAGCAGTGTGCCGAATGCGAATAAGTCAAACACAACTTCCCATAATTTGTCAATTGAGAAACATTTTTATCTCTTTCTGTTTCCTGTTTGTTATCCATTCAGTGACTCTCATCCCTCAATTCATCACATTCTATACCCAAGTCAATTTTTATAAAAAAAAATTGAAACAATGGGGATGGGCAGGATTTTGGTACTAGTTAAACAGCTCTATCAAAGTGCTGACAAGGGCAGGCTGTGCTTCTTCTGCACTGTAATGTACTGTAATTCTCTAATTATTTTTTGATCTGAAACTTCTGTAAACCAACCCAAAAGTAGTTAGTTGATATTAAATATAATTTATTATGGTACCACTATAGGGTATACTGCATATTTTTAGTTGCCTTTTTTGTTTCTTTTGTATTTCAGAGTGCTGAACTTGCTCGGAAAAGTGTACTACTTAAACAGAGAGATATGATAACTTCGTACTATGTGGATGTAAAAACGTTGTATGATGTGATGAAAAGGGGTTTGATTGTATCAAGTAAGTATTGTCTAATATTCTTTCTTTGGATTATGGTTAAAAGTGGAAGCCCATATCTTCTGAAATCTGTCTATACGAAATTCACATTATCAGTAAACATTTCCATCATATCCAGTTTTGTTATTGGAGTTTGCAGTGGAAGAAATAGCAAATTTGATGGACAACCAATTGGACCTGGAAGTTACTGGCTACCATGCACCACTGGGGACTGGGAGGAGAATGTTTGCCTGCTTTGATGGGATGGTGAGAATAAAGAGAATGAGCAGTCAGTTTTCATTTTTGTGACTGTAATTTGAGTTGGTGAAGCTCTAAAATCTGGTTTCAATTTGGTAGTCTTGATATTTGAACTAAATTCACCCCTTTCTATTTTAACCATGAAAGTTTATATTGTAGTCAAACATCCCAGCTGTTCACGCACGTCTGGTTTTGCTGCTCATAACAAGATCCAATCATGTCCCTACCTTTTTAGGAGCCGGACATGAAGTGCTTTAATATTGATCTGTGTACATATTTTGATTCTCTTGCTACCTCCCTAATCAAACAGTTAGGTACTTAATGTCTTTGCAATTGCTGTCACCAAGTAACAGAGGTGACACCTCCCTGTCACCATTCAGTGCATTTTTCCATGTCCTCACTAAGTTCCTTACATCCTTCCTGAAGTGCAGTGCCCAGAATTGTGGATTGCCTCAGTGGAGTGGCTTGAGTGTTTGTTGATCCTGAAAGTAATGCCTTCAGGACTTCTCAACTCCTGGCAGAGCCACCCATGATGTTCAGGTTGGAGGGGATGAACCAGACAAAGTGCAATCCAAAACAAGTCCTCAGTGGTGAACCATTTGGAAGATAGTCATGTAATATCAATGGCTGCGATGGTGCAAGAAGGCTGCAGCTGTGTGGAGATCCCCAGTTATTGAGCATTCCTTGTCACTGGTACTGGATCTACCTTCTCTCAAGGACTGTGTGTCTGCTGAGGTGCAACAGCATTCCCATGTTAATAGATGTCCCATACAAGCGTCTACCTAGAGGAATTCAACCCTTCCCCACCACACGACACAAGCCCTGCAGTGATCAGTGGGAGATGATGGGGAAAGGAATGAGAGATCTGGAAATCCCTTGCTTCAGTCCAGCAAGTAAGGAATAGGAACAGGAGAGTGTTTTGGCAGCTTTCTACATGACTGAGCAACTCTCTTCGTGACTGAGCAACTGTCTTCAGGATCCACCCAGCTCTCACCCCACATGTGGAAGAAGCTAGAAGAGGTACCCCAAACATAGTCTGTTCCATCATCACCTTCGCTGGTAAACTACATCCAATGGCTCAGCTACCTGCGGACTGAAAGCCAAAGTCAATCTCAGTCTCAGAACCTGAAGTGTAGGAACCCTCATAGATAATGAGCAAAACAGTTGTCCAGAACGAAGAATTGCCCTTATTGCCCGTGAACTCAGGCACTTCAACTTTGAGTCGCTGCTCTCCAGGAAACTTGAAGAGCAGTCGAAGGGTGGCTGAGGGATGAAGGTGGTGGTTACGCCTTCTTCTTGAGAGGAAATCCTGAGGACCAACCCAGAAAGCATGGATTTGGATTTGCCACCGAGAATGAACTCATCAACTGACTGTCGGTGTTCCCTTTTGGCAGCAACAATTACATCATGCGTCTCTGTCTGCAACTTGCCAGGAACCAGCAGGCAATGATTGTGAATACCTATTCTCCAACCCTTGAAGCCATAGATGAGACCAAAAAAGGTTTCTACTCTATAGAGTGTACTACAGCAATATTCCATCAAAGGTAAAATCAGCACCCTTGGAAACTTCAATGCCAGGTTTGGAAAAGATTCCTGATTTTGGAAAAGAGCCATTGGAAAGGAAGGAGTTGGGAATTATACCTCCAGTGGGATTGCCCTGCTCTCCAAATGTGCAGAACATTAGGTGGTTATCACCAACACACATTATTCTGCCAAAAAGACAAATTCAAGACTTCTTGGAGGCATCCACAGTCAAAGCACTGGCACATGATCATTTGATCCCAAGAACAATAGGGTGTCCTCATTACCAAAATGATGACCAGTGCAGAGGAGTGCTTGACAGACCACCAGCTCATCCACTCCCTTATGTCTATTAAATGTCACCAGAAGCAGCTGAAGATGAAGAAACAAGGATTTGAGGGATGAGCTGACCAGAGTTGATTGGAAGGGGAGCCTAGCAGGGAAGATGGTGGAGCAGCAATGGCAGGAGTTTCTGGGGGTAATTCATGAGGCACAGTAGAAATTCATCCCAAGGAAAACAAAACAGACTAAGGAGAGGATGAGGCAACCATGGTTGATAAGGGAAGTCAGGGACAATATAAAAGCAAAACAAAAAGCATACAATCTGGTGAAGATTAGTGGGAAGCCAGATAATTTGGAAACCTTTAAAAACCAGCAGAAGTATTACTAAAGAAGCAAAAAGTAGAGAGAAGATGAAATATGAGAACAGGCTAGCTGGTAATATAAAAGAAGGTTACAAGAGTTATTTTTAGATATCTAAAAAGTAAGAGAAAGGCAAGAGTGGATATTGGACTGCTGGAAAATGAGGCTGGAGATGTCGTAATGGGGAACAGAGAAATGGTGGCGAAACTGAATAGGTACTTCGCATCAGTCATAGAGGAAGACACCAGCAGCACACCCAAGCTTTAGGAGAATCGGGGGTGGGGGTGGGGGGGGGGGGGCGGTGTGCAGGGATGAATGTAATGGCCATCACTGAGGAGAAAGTGCTGGAGAAACTGAAAGGTCTGAATGTGGGTAAGTCACCCGGATTGGATAGACTACACCCTCAAGTTCTGAAAAAGATAGCTGAGGAGATTATAGAGGCATTGCTGGTGATCTTTCAGGAATCACTGGAGTCAAGGAGGGTCCCAGAGGACTGAAAAGTAGCTAATGTAATACCCCTGTTTATGAAGGGAGAGAGGCAAAAGACTTGTAATTATAGGCCTGTTAGTCCGCTTGTTGGTAAGATTTCGTATTATTAAGTATGAAATTACAGAGTACTTAGAAGTGCATGGTAAAATAGGGCAGAGTCAACATAACTTCATCAAAGGGAGGTCATGCCTGACAAATTGGAGAGCCAGTAGACACGATCTATTTGGATTTCTAAAAGGCCTTTGACAAGGTGCTACACAGGAGGCTGCTAAATGAGACAAGAGCCCATGGTGTTAAAGGCAATGTACTGGCATGAATAGAGGATTGGCTGACTGGCAGAAGGCAGAGAGTAGGGATAAAGGAGTCTTTTTCAGATGACAGCCAGTTCCACAGGGGTCTGTGTTGGGACCACAACTGTTCACTTTGTACATTAATGATCTAGACGAAGGAACTGAGGGCGTTTTTGCCAAGTTTGCAGATGACACAAAAGTGGAGGGGCAGGAGGTGTTGAGGAAGTGTAGAGGCTGCAGAAGGACTTGGATATGCTAGGACACAGGGCAAAGAGATGATGGATGGAATACAAAGTGGCAAAGTGTGAGGATATGTACTTTGGTGGGAAGATTAGAAACGTAGACTATTTTCTAAGTGGGGACAGTCTTCAAAAACCTGAAATGCAAAGGGACTTGGGAGTCCTGGTCAGGATTCTGTTAAGGTTAGCGTGCAGGTTCAGTTGATATTTAGGAAGACAAATGCAATGTTAGCATTCATTTCAAGAAGGCTCAAAAACAACAGCAGAGATGTACTGCTGAGGCTGTATAAGGCTCGGGTCAGACTGCATTTGGGATATTGTTAGCACTTTTAGGCCCCGTATCTAAGGAAGGATGTGCTGGCATTGGAGGGGATCCAGGGGAGGTTTACAAGAACGATCACTGGTCTGAAGGGCTTGTTATATTATGTGCGGTTGAGGACTTTAGGTCAGAACTTGATTGGTTTAGAAGGATAAGGGGTAATCTGATTGATTGAAACTTACAGAATCTGAGAGGCCTGGACAGAATGGACAAGAAGGTATTTCCACTAGTAGGGGAGACTAGGACCCGAGGGCACAGCCTCAGAGTGGAGGGACGACCCTTTGCAACTGAGATGAGGAGGAATTTCTTCAGCCAAGGGGTAGTGACTGTGTGGAACTCATTGCTGCAGATGGCTGTGGAAGTCAAATCACTGACTGTATTTAAGACAGAGATTGGTAAGTTTTTGATTGGTAAAAGGATCAAGGGTTATGGGGAGAAGGCAGGAGAAGAGGGTTGAGAAACCTATCTGGCATGATCGATTGAGCGGACTCGGTGGGTTGAATGGCCTCATTCTGCTCCTAAATCTTATGGTCTGAACAGATCAGAAAAGGGCCAAGCCAACCAGCAAATTTCTAACAACGTCTTTACCAAAATCACCAAGTCATCATCTTAATGGAGTGGTGGAAATCTAGACAGAGCTAAAGACAGCCATCATCTCATACTATGAAGAAACCATCAGCTACAAGACCAGGAAACACTGAGACTGTTTCGACATGAATGACCACATCATCCAAGACCTCATTGACAGGAACCAGAAAGCTCTCTGTGCCTGACAAAATGACATCACGAGTGAGGCAAAGAGGAGAACTCAACCAGCAACAAAAGTGGAGTTATAAAGAAGAACAAGGGAAATCAAGAACCAATGGTGGACTGAGAAAGCTAATGAAAGCAAATGCATGCTGACAAGCATGACACCTGGGGTTGCTTCAGAGCCACCAAGGCAATGTACAGACCTAACACCCTGGACCTCAAACCAGTGAACAGTGAGGATCACACCCTTTTCAGAGACCGAGAAAACATCAGCCTCCAATGGAGAGAACACTCCAAAGAACACCAAAATCACAATACAATTATTGATGATGACCTGTCTGAGGAAATCTCTCATCAAAGATGATCTTGGATTCTCATGTAGTTTGGCAGAGATTGAAGCCTCCATTAGACGCACAAAGAATGGAAAATCCACAGGAGTAGACTAGATTCCAATGGAGATTTTCAAACATGGAGGAGCAGAGCTTACTCATCATCTCTTATCAACTGTTCCTGAAAATCTGAGACAAGGAAGAAATCCCTGCTGATCACAAGGATACTGCCGTCACCATCATCTACACAAAATGGATTGTGGGAGCTAATAAGGAATCTCCCTGCTCTCCATCGCTGGGCATCTGAATCCGTGCTAGGTTACTTCTCCCAGTCTCTGAGGAAATTCTTTGTGAAAGCCAGTGTGGCAACTGTAAGAGAGAAATGCCAGGAACAACACCAACCACTGTACATGGCCTTCATCTGACCAAGGATTCTGATTCAGCCAATCGGGAAATGTTATGGAAGACCCTGTCAAATAACAGATGTCATTGGATTTTATCCCCATCTTCCGTCTTCTCCATGACAAAATGTCACTGATGGTAAAATGACAAAATCCTTTGAGGTCAAGACAAGGGTCAAGCAGGGATGTGTTATCACCCACTCACCCCTTTCTCCATCTTCATCTCCACCATTCTTCATCTTGTCTTGAACAAATTTCCCAGTGGTGTGACATTGTCTACAGGGTGGGCGGAAAACTTTTCAACTTTAGCCAGTTGAAATCCAAGAAGAAAATGACAATGATGCCCTCCTGGCACTTCAGCATATGATGACAATGTTGTCTCTGCTCTCTCAGAAGAGAATCTTCAAGCCTTGCTTAACACCTTTGCGGAAGCATACCAAAGCATGGTCTCAGCCTGAAGCTGAAGAAACCCTGAGTCCTTTACCAACCAAGTCAGGTTCCGCTCCACCCCTCCAATAAGACCAACAGAGAAATCCTCCTAAACATGGAACATTTCTCCGACCTGGGAATCTACCTTTCATCCAAGGCTGACATCGATGTGGAGATTCAACATCACATCCAATCTGCGGGTGCCACCTTCGCATGCCTGAGGATGTGAGTCTTCAAAATCTGTGACATCTGTGTTGGTACCAAGATCCTTGTGTATGAGGCAGTCTTCCTCTGATTCTTCTATCCGGCTCTGAAATTTGGACTACATACAAATGCCACCTCAAGACCCTTGAGAAGTACCATCAATGCTGTAGAGGATGGATTCATTGCATCAGCTGGGAGGACAAGTATACTAACATCAGCGTCCTTAAAGCAGCCAATTGCATCACAATCAAGGCCTTGCTCATCCAAAGCCAAATCCACTGGGCCGGCCATGTGCAAAGGATGCCTGAGATCCAACTATCAAAGCAAATCATCTTTGCCCAGTTCAAGTAAGGCAATTGAACAAGAGGAGAAAAGGGAAAGGCTTCAAAGACACCTTGAAGGCTTCCCTCAAGAAATGCAAATTAAATGTAACTCCTGAGAAACCTTCACTCAGTAATTGAGAACCCCTGTCAGCATGAGGAAGTACGGAAAGGAACCGGACAAGGGAATACCAATGATCTCAAGGCCAAACAGCTCCAAATATGTGGTCGGAGATATGGATCTAGGTTCTGCAAGGACCCACAGAACCAATGATCAATGGCACAGTTTCCTAGCTGGGCAATCATGCTCATTATCAAGTGATTGCTGACAACAACAATTCTCACTGAAGTTCAGTCAGTTATATTTATTAAAGATTTACCCGATCTTCCTGTCTTTTGTAACCTTTGCTTTTATTAATTAAGCCAAGAATCTTGTTTCCTTTTTTTATGAGACAATCTTCTCATCTTGTTCTGCTGTCTTCAAAAGTTTATGTCGGTACATATCTAAGTCCCCTTAAAAGTATACCAAATAGTTTGTAGTTCCTATGCACATTCTTCCTACCAACACCTTCACAATTTGCTACTTAATTTTCATCCACCATGCAATTTTCCTATTTCACCAGTCTGTCTATGTCCTCCTGAAGTCTACCACTTTCCTCATTTGTTACTGTACTTCTGAGTTCTGCAAACTTGGACAGTATGCTCTTTCTGTCCAAGTCTTGGTCATTAGCCCCAAAACCAAAATATTGAATGACTTATCCACAGTGAGCATTGACTCTCCAGTTTGTTTAAAGTCCTGTTGTAGCAATGCAACTTCTTTGTTTCCCCGTTCTCTTACTTTTCCCTGCCCACTGCTTTCATTTCAGCTCACTCTGTAGTTCGTTTCATTTGAAGAACGTAATGTTGAATTCCCAGAAGAACTAGGTATGGAGTCTTAAAGGTTACCTTCAAGGCATTGTGAAATGCTGATGGCCTCCACAATGGCAATTGGGGCCAGAAATTTATGGTAATCACAAAAGATTAAAAGGAAGATTGGGAGATGTTTGCTTTCAAAGAGGTTTGCAACAAAGAATTCCACATTCTATCATGGAAGCAGAGTTCTTGATTTTTTTTTGGAAGAGCATTCGGATTATTAGTTGAAAAGTTTGGATATTTTAAAGGTATACTAAACAAGTTGTAGGGTGGATGAGACAAGATGTGAGGTGCATGGTGGAAGCGAGAGAAAAAATATGAACTTGATGGGCTACACGCCCTCATTGTGAAGTGTACTATTCAATGATTTTGTATTATCCCCTTCATCATTGTTCACTTCCAATACCAATGCTATAAGATTTGTCATTTGATAAGATAATCTATGATTTGTATCATAGATCCTCTTGACGTCTGTTTACATGCCCTTGTCAAATCGAGTTAGCATGTGGAAATGTGTGTGTGTGTGGGAAAGGACACAACTTGGCCTTGAAATTAACGTACATTAAGAACTTACATTAATGTAGCATTTAGCATTGTAAAATAGACCGGACTGACTATGACTCAGAAATTCTGCTTTAGCAACAGCAACACAGATGAATTATTAGTTTATTACTGTTAAACCTCTGTGAATTATTTTTAGACAACTTGATCCATCAAAGTATATCATAATACTTCAAATATGAGAATTGATGTTTGCTTTTTGGTATTTGTTTTAAAGGTAATGGTCCTTGTTTGGGGTCCAGGAGTCCAAATCAGCCTTACCAATGGATATCCTACCAAGAAGTAAGTAATTTTTGTTTTTTATTCTGCAAGGATATTATTAGATATGTGGAAATCCAAGATCTGAAAACTTTAATGGGTAATTTAGGGCCAGGTATTGTTTGGCCTAAAAAGTCTGAGGAAATCTGAGGAAATCTGTAGACTGTGGGACGTACTTTCCACTTCCTGGGTCACTGAACCCAAAATGTTAACTCTGATTTCTGTCCACAGATGCTGCCACACCAGCTGATCCTTTCCAGCAATTTCTGTTTTCTTTACAGTGAATTGGAGCTGTTTGGTGATCCATCAGAAGTTGTTGAAGGGAAGAACAAATCCTTATGTTGGATTGTTTTAAAATCATAAACTGATCCTCCACTTGTGACTGTCTGCCACTGAACATCTGAAGTAATTTCATTCTGAATCAATCCTAAACTCGAGTACCTCGGGAAATGGTTTCTCAAAGCATCCTGGCACTATTGCATCGAGACTTTAATGCCATCAGGAAATGTGGAGTCAACATCTACATGTACTTTGTTGATACCTAGCTCCACCTCCCCTATCTTCTCCAATGCCTTTGTGCTGTAAGACTGCTTCTTAATATCTTGGATTAGCTGCAATTTCCTTCAACTAAACATTGTGAGAGCTCATTGAAAATTCCTCACCCTAGCCGCAAGCTCTATACCATTGCCACTGATTCCATTTCCCTGTACAAACAGTGACTGAGACTGAGGGAGTTCATGAGCACCCTCTGAGTCCTGTTTAACCCCAAACTCATCTTCTACCCCTGTTTTTCCTTTCCTTCACAGATGGCCACCCTCCAACTCTGGAACATCACCCACCTTCACCTCTGCTTAAATCCAAATAGATTTCATTCTGAGTGCTGGAGAAAATAAAACACAGGGGTTACAGTAAATTCAAACCATGATATTTTCATTTTTCTTTATTCTTTTGCAGGATGTAGGTGTCACTGGATATGCTAAAATTTGTTGCCATCCTGAATTTGAGAGGGGAAAGTAGGGTGGGTGCATGCTCATGTCCTGTGTGAGAACTGTTTAAAAACTGAGATCTTGATTTAGACTGTTGTCTGAATTAATGGGTTCCATACTACTACTACTACTACAAAGCAAATTTATTTACCTCCTTTAATGACTAAATTACCTCAAGGAGCTTCATAAGAATGTTATCAGCCAAAATTTGAAACTAAACCACAAAAGGATATTAGTACAGGTAATGAGAAGCTTGATCAGGGGGATAAGTTTTCAGAAGGATTGTAAAGAAGATAAGGGAGGTGAAATTTATGGAGGGAGTTCTGAAGGTTGGGGTGTAGGTAACAAGTCTATTATAAAACTGATAAGAAATCTATTCTCTGGTCAAATGGTTGAAATAGTAATGTTATGATTTACTTGTAGCCTTCTCAGGCTTTAAATAAAATAATTGATTTATATTATTGATTGAAAGAAACAGGACTCTCAATTTCATTTACATTCATGAGATTTATTATAAAGCCTAACTCTTCCTTTGCATGTTTTATAAACTCTACACTGCATGCAAATCATTGCATTCTACCACATAAATTAAAAATAATTTCGAACCTGGGATAATTCACAAACTGTAAAAGGGCCATCATGTTTTTGGGGATTTAGGTCTTACTACGTAGGTTTTCTTTTCTCTGTGTAAATAGTTAATTTACTAAACAGGAAATTTAAGTGATTTGCATTCAGGTTCTTACATTGTCTTTCAGGTTATATCCAGAGCAGAACATGTGGGTTCAGGGTTATTCACACGAGGGTACAGACCAGGGAATAATCAATTTATAGGAATATTTGCACAAAACAGACCAGAAGTAAGTATTTTTATTCTTGAAATATCTAACTTTTCTTATTCTTACGTGGGATTTGGGCATCACTGGCAAGCCAACATTTGTTGCACATCCCTAATTGCGTTTGAACTGAGTAGCTTTTCAGAGGGTAGTTTAGATTTCTCCTATTCACGTGGCTTTGGAGTAACCAGATTGGGTAAGGATTGAAGTTTCCCTTCCTTAAATGACATTAGTGAACCAGTTGGGTTTTATCCAAATATCAATATTAGACTAGAGTTTTTAATTCCAGATTTTATTGAATTCAACTTTCACCATTTATCATAGTGGGATTTGAACCATGGTTCCCATAGAATTAGCCTGAAGCTCTGGATTATCAGTCCAGTAACATTACCAGTACACCACCACCTCACCACAATCATAGAGTCATAGAGATGTACGGCACAGACATAGACCTTCGGTCCAACTCATCCATGCCGACCAGATATCTTCAATAAATCTAGTCCCATTTTGCCAGCATTTGGCCCATATCCCTCTAAACCCTTCCTATTCATATGCCCATCCAGATGCCTTTTAAATGTTGCAATTGTACCAGCCTCCACCACTTCTTCTGGCAGCTCATTCCATATACACACCACCCTCTGTGAAAAGTTGCCCCTTAGGTCCCTTTTAAATCTTTCCCATCTCACTTTAAACCTGTGCCCTCCAGTTTTGGATTCCCCCCACCCTGGGAAAAGACCTTGTCTATTTACCCTATTCATGCCCCTCATGATTTTAGGAATCTCTACAAGGTCACCCCTCAGCCTCTGATGCTTCAAGGAAATTTGCCCCAGCCTATTCAGCCTCTCCCTATAGCTCAAACCCTCCAACCCTTGTAAATCTTTTTCTGAACCCTTTCAAGTTTCACAACATCCTTCCTATAGCAGGGAGATCAGAATTGTATGCAGTATTCCAAAAGTGGCCTGAGCAATGTTCTGTACAGCAACAACATGACCTCTCAACTCCTATACTCAATGCATTGATCAATAAAGACCATGAAAACCAAGTGCTTTCTTTACTATCCTGTCTACTTGCAGCTCCACTTTCAAGGAACTATGAACTTGCACTCCAAGGCCTCTTTATTCAACAACACTCCCCACTAAGTGTATAAGTTCTGCTCTGATTTGCCTTTCCAAAATAGAGCAGCTCACATTTAGCTAAACTCCATTTCCCACTCCTCAGTCCATTGGCCCATCTGATCGAGATCCTGTCGTACTCTGAAGTAACCTTTTTTTCACTGTACAATACGCTTCCAATGTTTTGATCATGTGTGAATCAAAAGTACATGGATGTTTATCACACCTTTCACACATGACTTACAAATATGTTTACTACAATTTATTATCTGTTCCTAAAGTATCAGGAATGAGACACTTCTAGCTTTATCTATGCAAGCTTTACTGGAAAATACTCCATTGAAAGTCTAGATATAGAGAGCTGACCCACATAATCCTAAAATGATAGAGGGAGAAAAGCTTACAGCTCTGAAAGAAACCACCAGATCTTATCCTTCTCCCTCCCTCCTTCACAATAAGAGTCGGGAAGACTATGCCTGGGGTCAGTCTGAGATCAATTGACCACGTTGTAGGGCTCCATTCATCTCCTTTCAAACTTGAATTGCCTTGCATTTATGGCTGACATTGAACTAATATTGAACATTTTGGGTCTGAACCATCTGAGCAAGGGGGACAAACAGTCCTGACAAACTCTGAGAAACAGTGAGCAGCCATAACACCTACCCTGATTCTTCATTAAATGTCAAACTTGAAGGAGACTATGTAGTCTAAACATTGTAGCCTCACTTTATTCAAATGTGTAAAATTGGCTTAATCAGCATATATCTCCTCTCATGGTAGAGATAGTCATTCTGGATAGATATGGTCATTACCTTTTATCAATAGATGAATAGCTGGTGAAGTGATAACACTACTAAGTGACTGTGTCCAAATGTATTTGCTGCTATGTTTCCTAAATATATTGTGCAGAATAATTATTCCACAATATTACATTTTCTTGGTAGAACAGCCTTTAAATATTTCTAAAAGAAGTTAAGACTTTGAGTTTTTCATCTTGCATTCATCACAACCAAGGCCCAAGAAACCGACTTGAATAAAGGAATACAACTACACAGCAGTAGGGCTTACTTTCTTCCGTGTTGTATGTGTGTAAGTGTAGGGACTCAGTAAAGACACCATTCGGGCAAATAATTTCATTCAATATTTCTACCCAGGAATACCATTTTGTACAGCATGAGAGAAGATGCTGATTAGCTGGGCCATCACTGGTATGGAAATAACAGTAAACTGTTCCTGAACTGTTCTCAGACCGAGCAGGTAGATTCTGATTGGTCACGGTGTTGCCATGGGATGCAATAGAGTTTGACTGTCTCCATTATGCTTTCTAAAAAAAAACAATGTATGTACAAATTCCTTTTGCCTACACAAAATAGGATATTGTGTATTTAAATGTGCAGCTTCTGCCACACACACATGCATCACACAGTGAGCCTGGCTGATGATCTTAAATTGGTTTCCAGTTTAACTCTTAGCACAGTCTAGATTATTTAATAAACGATTTCCAATAGCCTAATCACATCTGAAGGTGGATACACTTCTCAGGTTTGAAAGCACGGGCTGTTTGAGCACAATCAGCAAGCTACCTGCTGTGAATGGTCACATTTGCCATTATCACCATAAAATGTGATTCTGCTACTATTCTTGTTGTATCTTCATGTCATTGATGGCTCAACCAATCAGCAGCCTTTTCTCCTGCTGTATAAAATGGGGTTCCTTTGTTCAAGTCTGTTCCTTGTGTCCTAGCTCTGATGAGTGCAAGATGTAAACCTTTTACTTCCTTTTAGCAATGCTGAACATTTTCCCTTGATTTATTTGGAATTTGTCCCAATGACAGTAACACTACCACAACAGTTTAGTGATTTGCCACAGGTATAATTTTAAATGGGAAAATCCAGACTACAGTTGCCTTCTATGTTCAGTTTGCTTTTCATTGATCTACAGCTGAATGACTTGTAACTATATTGAAATGTTGATAGCTTTTGTATTTCTAGTGCAGTTGTTAAATAGAACATGTCTGAACATGTTGTTGAGTAAATATCTGACCATGTAATCAGTCAACTGAATGTTAGTGTAGCTGAACATCATTTCAAATGTTAAATACTCTCCCACCCACTTCAGTGGGTTATTATTGAACAGGCCTGTTATACCTACTCCATGGTGGTGGTGCCATTATATGATACATTGGGAGATGAAGCCATTTCCTACATCTTAAACAAAGGTAGGTTTTTTTTTAAACAAATAATTTAAATTAGTTTTTTGGAACATGCTGATGCATTTTTTTCTCACACCTCTCTTTCGGTTCTTGACTGTTCTTAATGGTTTGCATATTGTAGAACATCTACTGTAAAGATTTTCATCTGCCATTAAATGGCTAGTAGTATTGTGGAATTTCAAGGTAAATCCTGATATACAACTATGTGAACCTGACAAAGGACGTGAAGTAGTCATACTCAACAAACATGATTTCATCACCAAAGTGCATGCTGTACCCAACAACGGTTCTAAGTTTATATCTATAGGACCTACCATACTAAAGACTGAACAGCTGCAGTGTCCGGGTGGTAACCTACCTTGTGATATGCTTGATAGGATTCATCCTCATGGCTTACTGGATCCACCGTGTACAATCTGCCAAAGACACACAAAAGCGATGTCTCTTTATGTCCTCTTCTATCTATGGCTGGCTTTGCACAGCATGAGTTGGCCAAATGATTGTGGGCGCTGATGCAACCAGATCTCAATGAGTTTTCCATATGCCGTATGAAGGATTCCTTCATGATTGCTAAGACCACATAAGACTTCCATATTGAGAGCAATGGCATGACCATGTACTTTTTAATACTGCTGGCTTATTCACCAACATACCACTCAAAGAAACCACTGACATTTGCACCATGTCATTGTTTCATAGCAATCTAGACATACCACCATGTCTGAATCTAAGTTTATCTAATGTATGAACTTTGCAACTTGTGCAGTTGAGTTCAGTTTCAGTGACACCATGCATGCCCAAGTAGATGAAGTTGTCATGGGATCCCCTCTAGGCTCAGACATTGCTAAGGTCTTTGTTGGTTACCATGAGAAATGCATCTTTGATGGAAAGACCACTAATTTGGTAACCCTTGTAGATTTCAAATATGATGATATGCTGGTGATATTTGATTCTGCAGCTGCATCAAAAAATTTCTTTACACAGTTTAATAAACTCCATGCTGCCCTCAAATTTATCATTGAAATGGAACATTAAAATGAGTTCTGTTTCGTCAGTGTATTAGTCAAGAAGTCTGACAATGGGCACTCAGTATGAATCATTTTCGTGTGCTGGAAGCTGTATGTATAAATACAGAAGATCCTGTTTTATGTAGCGGAGGAATTTGTACATTCATTGAACCTTTATTTAAAAAAGGGATAATGGAGACAGTTAATTGCTACTGCATTGCCGTGGCAAAGCTGTGACCAAACAGAATCTACCTGATTGGTCTGAGAATTAAGGTGAATAGTTACCGCATCTTCGGGCCAATGATGGCCCAGCCCATCAGCAGCCTCTTTATGCTGAATGAAGGGTCTAGGCCCGAAACGTCAGCCTCTCTGCTCCTATGGTGCTGCTTGGCCTGCTGTGTTCATCCAGCCCTGCACCTTGTTGTCTCTCTTCCTTTATTCAAGTCTGTTTCTTGCATTCAAGTTCTGATGAGTGCAGGATGGAAAGCTTCAAATTCATGTCTCCTATTAGCAATGTTTGCACTCAAAGTTCAGAGCTGCCAAAATGTAATAATGCACCAGTTCAGCACAATAATTGATATAAAAAATAATGTAATACCCCATGAGAAAGCAGATTAGTACACAAAAATGCAAACAAAGAAACACAGAGTTAAACATTAAAAAAAACTACTTTTCAGTTGAAATTTTGTTTAAATTCAAAATGTAAATTCCCGAATATTCTCTGGTATGAAACACCTGAATTTGACAGTAAATAAACTTGGGTCGACTGTGAGGAGTTTGAATGAGATAGGCAATTTTTAAGTATTTTCTTCAAAGAGCAGTATAGTGTCACTAACTGGTATAATTGTGTTCACACTCAGCAGGGGCACACATATACCATTCTGATTATCTTTTCAGAAAGTTCTCAGAGGGTCTACAGATTGGAGGGTCTACAGAAAAGCTAATAAGGGAGTTTTCTTTATGTTCACTTTATGATGGCCAATCCATTTGAGAAGGCTTCTTAATTTCTAGATCATAAGGAAATAGCGAGTTGCCAGGCTTACTCCTACATATGCAGATTGAATACTGCCAGAGGGGCAAGACCAGAAACCTAGGAGCAAATGTCTTTCTTCCACTGTTCAGTGACAAATTAGTGACCTAAAAAGCAAGATTTTCAGGTATTATGCAAGGAACTCCTTGATCTAATTTGTGCATTTTTGCACCCACTTCCGGAACTTTTCAGGTTTTTTTTTGTTTGCAGATTAGGGATTGCATTTAGATTTGGGATTTGTTGCATAGAATCGGGTCATTTAGACTAGTCCATATTAGTACTTAGCTCCACTCCAGCCTGTCCTTTCCTACCTCACCTAGCACTATCAGCATGACCATCCATTTCTTTCTTCATTGTGTGCTTAATTTATTTCATCTTAAATGTGTCTATACTTTACTTCAACCACTCCTTGTTGAAATGTGTTGCACGTGCTGTTAAATCTGAATAAATCTAATTCCCTCTAATTTTCCTTCATATCCTATCATTGTCTTAAAGAATTCTCTTCACGTGAGTGGAGACACCAAATCTACTTAAGAAAGTAAATAAAAGATTTACATTTTTACATGGTCTTTCACAGCCACTGTCTCAAAGTGAGTTACAATCAATTAAGTACTTTTTTTGAAGTGTTGTCACTGCTGCAGCAGCCAATAGGGCACTTAATGAACTCCCTTAAATAGCAATATGGTAATGACCAGATAACCTGGTCTTTGCAATGTTGATTGAGGAATTCATATTCAGCATCAGAATATCATTTTAGAATGATAAGAGTCACCCATTTAAGATTTCAGGATGAGAGGCCGCTCATTTAACACAGAGATGAGGAGGAATATCTTCCCTAGTTGTAGATCCGTGGAATTCTTTACTGCGGAAGGCTGTTGAGGCTGGTTTAAGACTGAGACAGATTTGTAATCAGTAAGGGGATGGAGGATGAGGGGAAAAGGCAGAAAAGTGAGGTTTGAACATATTAAATCAGCCATGAGCCCATTGACTGCACTTCAAATAAAAAGTATCAAGTTGATTGTAACTCACTTTAAGACATCCAGTGGTTGTGAAAGGCAATATATAAATTCAAGTCTTTCATTTCCTTTCATTCATTAAGTAGATTTGCTGGCTCCATTCAAATGAAGAGAATTCTTTAAGATGATGATGGGATTTGAAAGAAAATTAGAGGAAAATTAGACCAGATCCAAATGGCCTACATGTGCTCCTAATGTCCTATAACCATAATGATCAGACAGAGGTAATAAAATAAAGGACTGATAATTCCAAATCAGTAATAATCACCAACTAGTAATGGATCTCACATGGAACAAGAAGTTTTGACAATACTATCATTATAGACATTGGCTGTAGCACATTTATCTGTGAGTCTTAAAGTTGTGGGTTCAAGTCCCAATCCAGGACTTGAGCCCAAAAATCCAGCTCTCCAAGGCAATACAAAAAGCAGCTTTCTTCAGGTTTCAAAGAAGTAACTGGACTTGAAACATTATCCCTGTTTCTCTACTGCTGCTTCTGGACCTGCTGCATTTCTCCAGCATTTTCTGTTCTTATTTTTGAAGGAATGCTGCACAGTTGGAAGGGCATTTTTCGGGTGAAACTTTAAGTCGAAGTTCTCAGGTGCATGTAAAAGAGCCCAAGGCATTGCTTTGAAGTTATCCCTTACGTCCTGGCCAATATCAATTTCTCAATCAATGTCACAAATAATCATTATCATTTTCGTTGCGGGCCAGCAATTATTTGCTGTGTTTCCTGTATCACAACAGCGACTATACTTCAAAAGCACTCATTTGGCTGTAAAGTACCAAGGGATGCATGATAGTTATAAAAGGCTCTTTTTAAATGCACCCCTTCCTTTCCCAGGCAAGAGATGAAAGGATTATTTTCATACCATACTAATTTGCACATCCCAATGAAGCTTTGGTCTGATTATCAAACTTATTAGAAGTAAGATCTTAAAGCTGCTCTTATGTATTCACAGAACTCATGGTATCATTCTCTTCTTGCATACTGTAACACTGAATTTCACCATGCCTTTCTCAATGCATTTCATTATATAAATAAAACATAACAAATATTTGGGCTGGATTTTCCCACTGGCGGCTGGAAACAGATGTTGTGTTGGATTTTACGTTAGGAACCTACCCCTGTTGGGAGCCTGTCTGAGTTTCAGATTTTGCCACATGAGAGCCCTTAATTTGGTTGGAGATAGGTTGCCTGTTTAATTAAAGCTGAGATGGGGCAGGAATGGAGACAAGTTTTAAATGCCCATGGCAGGCATCACACAGGCTGCTGCTGGTACTAAGGGAGAGAGTTGGTGCCAAAGCCTGTCACCGCACCATAGGAAGCTGAGAAGCCACGGGGAGCACCATAAGATAACAGAGTAAAACTTTGTCATTCAGCCCATTGAGTCTGCTCTGCCACTCAATCATGGCTGAAATGTTTCTCAATCCCATTCTCCTGCCTTCTCCCCGTAACTCTTGATTTCCTTACTAATCAAGAACCTATCTGTCTCTGTCTCAAATGCACCCAATGGCCTCCGCAGCCATGAGTTCCACAGATTATCCACCCTCTTGATCAAGAAATTCGTCCTCATCTCAGTTCTAAAGGTTCTCACTTCACTCTGAGGCTATGTCCTTGGGTCCTAGTCTTTCCTACTAGTGGAAATAAGTTCTCCATGCCTACTCGATCCAGGTCTCTCAATATTCTGTAAGTTTCAATCAGATCACCCCTCATCCTTCTAAACTCCATCAAGTACAGATGCAGAGTCCTCAACTGTTCATAATATGATTCGCCCTTCCTCCACGAATCATTCTTGTGAACCTCCTCTGGACTCCCTCCAATGCCAGCACATCCTTACGTAGATACAGGGCTCAAAATTGCTCACAATATTCCAAATGTGGTATGACCAGAGCCTAATAGGGCCTCAGCAATACATTTCTGCTCCTGTATTCTAGCCCTTTGAAATAAATGCTAACATTGCATTTGCCTTCCTAACTGCCAACCGAACCTACATGCTAACCTCAATACGGTCCTGAACTAGGAGTCCCATGTTACTTTTGAGCTTCACATTTCTGAAGCCTTTCCCCATTTAGAAAATAGTTTCTGTCTCTATTCTTTCTACCAAAGTGCATAACCTTACACTTTCCCCTGTTGTTTTCCATTTGCTCATTCTCCTATCCTGCCCAAGTCCTTCTCAAACTTATCCTTCCTATGAAGGCTGTGGCTCCTCACTTCTGATGGCCTTGATTTCTGAAAACACAGCATGTATTTCCCAGCCACAACTTTCCTGGTACTTGCGTAGAATCCAAACAATTGTCTACAGTATTCCAGTGCCCATGTCATTGCTAGGAGGGTGACGACCACCTGAACTGACAAAGTTCTTAAACCTGGCTCAGAGACAGTAAGAACTGCTGATGCTGGAGTCAGAGTTAACACAGTGTGGAGCTGGAGGAACACAGCGGGCCAGGCAGTATCAGAGGAGCAGGAACGTTGACATTTTGGGTCCTGGCCTGTTGTGCTCCTCCAGCTCCACTCTGTGTTCTCTCTTAAATCTGACTACTCTCTAGTATGTAATGGAGCTTTAATAACAAAGAGGTTAACCCTTTAAACTTTTTTGTCTCCCTTTTAAATCTCTTCCTGCCTCCATGACATAGCCTACCTCCACAACATGTCTCACCTCCGTGCATCTGGTCTGGCATCAGACAATTACGGAACTCCTGATCTTACCACGGTTGCATTTATAATGACTGCACACTTCTTCCACCTAGGCCTACAATAGCGTCATGATTTCTTTTCAAAACATAATTATTCATGATAGTTTTTGAAAATGTTACTCCGATGCAATTATACTGATGATTGGCCATCAAATGAAGGTAGGGTATCCTGAATAAACTCCTTTTGTGGCTGATTGAAATTAGATGTCACACAGAGGCATCTCTCAGGACATAGGGCCTATAAATGCATTTCTGTAATGAACACATTCCTTAACTTCACAAAGAATCACAGCTTTATTGACATTTCATCTTACCCTTGTACTTAAATAAGAAATTAACCGGATACCCCTTTTATTCTTAGCGGATATTGCAGTTGTATTCTGTGACACACCAGCCAGAGCAGAAGCTGTATTATACAGTGTGGAAAGTAAGCAAACACCAGACATTAAGATCATCATTATCATGGATCCTTTTGGAACTGAGCTGAAGCAAAGAGGAATTCAGAGTGGAGTTGAAGTTGTATCCTTGAAGACAATAGAGGTGAGGTGCCAAGAGCAAACCAGAATTCATATGTTCTGGCTGTCTTTTATAAGAGGCATACAATGATCTAATTTATTGCAGCATAGATATTAAGGGTAAATTCACCCAGCCTCTTAATTTCATGTAACCTTATATGAGCTCAGAATTTCAAATAATGAATTACAATACCAACAAGTATTCATGTGAAAACCTGTAATTTGGTAAAACAAATAAAACGGTTCAGAGGAGTATTATAGACTCACATAAGGATTACAGCATAGAGTGGGGCATTTGAATTTGCAGCTATGTATAAGGTGAATTTAGCTGGTCCCATGCCTTACATGACAGGTACACATGCAGGTCTCCTTTATGTGTCCCTAAGCATTCTCACCCCCACTGTTTTTAAAATATTTGTTCATGGAATGTGGGTATCACTGACTGCCAGCATTTATTGTCCGTCCCTAATGATCCAGACGGCAAATTAAGAGTAAACCACATAGCTGTAGGTGTTTTGTCATCTGTAGGCCAGACTGTGTAAGGATAACAGATTTCCTTCCCTGAAGGATATTAGTAAACCACATGGGTTTTTACAGCAATTGATAGTGACTACATGATCGTCATTCGGCTAGTTTTTAATTCCAGACATTTTTAAAAATAAGTTTAAAGTTCACCATCTACTGTGTATTCAAATCTACCACAGGGGATTATGTTAAATTCTAGGAGCCATAGGATTAAGGTGGGGGGAAGTTTAAAGGAGCTGTGCAAGGCAAGTTTTTTAACCGGTAAGTGGTAGGTGCCTGGAGTGCGCTGCCAGGGGACGTCGTAGAAATAGAATCGATAACAATGTTTAAGAGGCATTTAGATATGCACATGAACAGGCAGGCAGTAGAGGGATACAGAGCATGTGCAGGCAGATGGGATTAGTTTGGAATGGCTTCACGGTTGGCACAGACATGGTGGGCTGAAGGGCCTGTTCCTGTGCTGTACTGTTCTATGTTCCAAGTCCCTAAAACATTAACCTGCGGCTCCAGATTAGTAGTCTATTGATATTCCCATAACGCCACTGCTTCCCCCTCTCTTTTTACTTTCTATAAGCTACACTCAAAGACATCAGAGCAAATGACCAATAGCTTGGCCAAAGGAGTAAGTTTTCAGGAGCATCTTGAGGGGACAGTTCCAGAACCTGGGGCCTGGGCAGCTGCTGGCACATCTTACAGTGATGGTGGGGGGGTGGGGGATTAAAATTGAGATTATTGAAAGGGCAGAATTAGTAGAGGGTAGGTGACATGGAGAGATGTAGGACTGGAGAAAATTGCAGAGATTGGGAAAGGTGACTCCAAGGTTAGATTTGGAAACAAGCATAAGCATTATAATATCTCGGCATTGTTTAAATGAGAGGCGTTAGAGGTCAGCGCACACTTAAGTGATGGATGATCACACTTAGTATGAGTTAAACACAGCTGGTAGAGATTAAGAGCACTTCAAGTTTTCAAAGGGCAGAACATAGGAGGTCAATGAATTATGCATTGGAATAGTTAAGTCTAGAGGTAACAAACGTATGATTGAGAATTTCAGCACCAGATTAGCTGAGACGGTGGAGTTGAGCGATGCAAAGGAGCTGAACTTGAACAGTCTTCATCATGGCACAGATATGAAATTAGAATCTCAGCCTGTGATTAAATTGGTTGCGGACAGTCTGAATCACAGAGTCATAGAGTCACACAGCATGGAAAACAAACAATTTTTTTTTGTCTTTATTCATTCATGGGATGAGGGCGCCACTGACCAGGCAGCATTTATTGCCCATCCCTAATTGCCCAGAGGGCAGTTAAGAGTCAACCACAGTATTGCAATCATTATTTCTCTGATTACTCAATGAAGGTAGGTGAATATCACTATTGTGTAAAGGAAATATCTCTCAAAAGTTATTGTGTAATGAGGGTTTTCATTTCTGACTTCTGATAAATATGCAAACAGTAGATCTACTATTGGCTAATGTAAGAAGGATGAAATTAGTGGCTTGTTTACAAATGAAAGTGCTGGATCTGGGTCCAGAGGCAAATTTGTGCTTTTTATATAACAAATATATGGAATATAAATCTGATCTGTTAAATTTCCATGATTTGCATGCCAGAAATTAATTCGTAACTTTGAATTTATTGTTTGTTTTTATATTTCTCCCAGTTTGCTGGAAGAGACCAGAAATGGAAACCAAAAGTAAGTAAATTTTATTTATATCCATTGTTCAGGATTAACGCATGAGCTGCTAATCACTGGACAGTATTTCTGTAGTTTTAAAAATATGTGTATCCACTTTCCCAAATACTCAACCCTGGGGTTTTGAATATGTAATTTTACATTTGTTTCTTTTTATTCACCCATGGGATGTGTGCGTCACTGGCAAGACAAGTATTTGTTGCTCATCTCTAATTATCATTCTAGAAGATGATGGTGTTAAAATTATGAGGTTTATAACATTGTTGTATTTTTGGACTATCTTTAAATTTGGTGTAAAATAAAGGAGTTCAAGTGACTTGTCCTGACTTCTGTCTTGACAAAAATCCTGGCTTTGATTGTCAGAGATTAATGTCAGCTCAGATTGTTTTACTGAGAAGAAGATGCAAGGTTTATGTTTGGAAACAATGGCAGCAGCATGTGCGTTAACAATGGACACACCAGTTAGATCCAAGATGGCGGCAGACTAGCACTGCTGAACCAGAGCTCGTCAGGTCTGTCCATTTCTTTTCTTCCTTGTTCTCTTTTTGTTTTTTTTTGTTTATTCTTACCTTCCGTCCTTGGGCAGCATCGCCGATGTCTGGGGCGAAGCCAGCATGGGCTGCAGCCTCATTGCGGACTCCCAACTCTCGGGAGCTGTGAGGTGAATCCGGGGCAGACTCCCGACCTTGAGGTGAAGCCAGTGTGAATTCCCAGCCTTGAGAGCCTCCAGGTAAAGTCTGGCATGGACAGAAGGCGAAACCCCAGTGCGGGCTGGAGTCAAGGCCCTGGCGCGGGCTGGAGGCAAGGCCTGGCGCGGACACATCTGCTCTGTCTTCTCTGCTTGGAAGGGCTGTAATTCTGAACTGTTTCTTTCTTTATTCTTCTAATTTATTCCTAAGATTTTGTAGCCAGACACCTTTTGGACCTGAGATGGTGTGAAGGTCTGTTGTGCTGAACTTTTTAATTTTTTATTTGTCTAATTTATTCCTGAGAATCTGTACCTAAGTACCTTTGTACCTAAGGTGGTGCCGTAAGCGGTGACTTTGTAAACTTTTCACTGTACTCATGTGACTATGTGTGACAATAAATGTAATTTTAATTCTAGGAGTCTTCAAAACTCTAGAACAGTGGTGATAATGTTGGCTTGTAAGTAATTGAATTGATTTGAATCATTTATTCTCACATGTATTCAATGTAAAAATACAGTGAAAAGTGTGTACCTTCGCCGTGCATACATGGAGCCATTCACATTAACTTAGAATACGAAAAAAAGACTTAAGAGAGTCCAACTTTCTTTTCCACTGCCGCAGTCCCACTCATGACTTTCCAGCCCTCGCCATGCTGCTGCCAGCGTCCTGCTGTGGGCTGCCTCACTGGCCCACTCTCGCCGGCCAACTCTTCATCCACCGCCGTCGCTCTGGCCTACGCTTGATCTGTCGTCGCTGCAGGACACAACCCGCACATTCAGCTCCTGCCATGTGGTTCCCGGTTACGACCCAGCTCCTTCCTGACTCCTTAGGTAAGTAGTTAAAAGGGGTGGGGGGGATAGAAGAAGGGAGAAAAGAAAGAACAAAGAAAGAAGAAGAAAGAGAACTGGCAAACAGAGCGGAGCTCTGAAGTGGAGCAACTCACCCTGCCACCATCTTGCTGGAAGCTTTAAATTGTCGATTCAGTTCAAAAAGAAGGGGCTGGGCTCTTGAGAATAATTGATCAGCGTCTCTACCTGGATCAAGGCCCATGTTATTGATGTTGCCATGGAAACTGGCTTTGAAGGATCAATTAATGTTGTAAACTCACAGACAAAGTCAATCCACCAGGATCTGGCAGCCTGAGAGCAGCAAGAAGCTGTGGTTCATTGTGCAGGAATGCATGGAGCTTGCATTTGGAAAGACCAAATTTGCAAGGAGTTAAAATGGGACTGGAAGATTGCCTACTGTAACCTACGTGGTGTAGTCATCAGGAACACTTGCACTGTGACAGACAATTCAAGAATAAAGAGTTTTGAGTCTGGTGAAGGGAAAGATCAAAACTAAATCTTCAGGAACTATGAATGATTTTGGACCAATTTTGGGAGAATTGAATAACTGGACTGTATAATATGTATCTCATGGGTTTTTTTCTGATGTTGTGTGAAATGTTCTGTTCTGTACTTTCAAATATAAGTTTCCTACAAAAATTTAAAGTTATCAGGTTCCACAGGGATTGTAACAATGGTGAGTCACCTAGTTTAACCATTGTATGCCATGTGGCTTACGAACATCCATGGTGCTTTTGAGGAGGGAGTTCCACAAGTTTTACTCCAATGGCAGTGAAGTCATCAGCTCAGACAGCCAGCAAACAGAAGGGATGAACTGAAGATTTAAGAGCCGTACAAGGACAACTTGTGTGACAATCCTTGACAAGGATAGAACAGTCCAGTGAATGGTAAAAGCATTTCAGAATGGTAGGAGATATATGTGAACAGCAGAGTTAGCAACTCCCTGGAGAAGGAGAATTAGTAACTCCAGAGCAGATATCACTGCCGCCCCAAAGTGATGGGCTGTGGGAGCAAGCTCAAACCTGACAGCTGTGTTATGCAAACAGATGTCGGAGGCTGCGAGAGTAAGCTTAAAATCCCCAGTAGGCCAGGGAAATCTTTAAAATAGCATGGTAATCCAGGCTAGAAAAATGAGAAAACAAATTACTTACACTCGGGTTGAGTGTTGTCGCCTAGTGAGCAGGTCCCAAGATCCCAAGAAATGGAGGTAAAGGGCCATGACAGAAACACAACCCAAGGTTGCAGATGTGAGATGTCATGAAGCCTGTAACTAAAGTGCTAATGTTAGGCAGCTTCAAATCCTAAACAGACCTGCTTTAATATTCAGGCTGCAGAAAAGATCCTTCAGAAGAGCGATGATAAAGCCAGGAATCATTTAAACCGTGTGGTTTGGACATGGTTATTGAGTAAAGCATTGGTTGAAGTTGGAATTGTTTATTAAAGCCATGAACAGTGAGATTCAAACAGTGAATATGCAAAAAATGAAATCATCTATTTTCCCATCTATAAAGGGTGGGAATGGTCCGTTTTAGCTGTAAATCACAGGGAAACACTTCTCTGCGACATCAAAGCACAGCAGAACTGCAATTACTCTACAATAACAGTCTTCTAGATAACAAAATATATAATTATATTAGGAAGACATGGCATTGGAAATACTACTTCCAGGAAGGCTCAGTTTCAGTGATGAGCCAAATAGAACACAGTTCTGGAGAAAATAGTTTCTGAGGTAAATAACTTCCAAATTGGATATGAAATCAGATGAAATCACATACACTTCTCTATGCAACTGGGAGTATTGTTGATGAGTTTATAGCTCATCAAAAGGTTTAAGAAGCAACATCTGCTTTTGAACAGATCCTGAAAGCCTTTGACAATCACTTCAACCTACTTCTTCAAAGAGCAAGATGCAATAGAAAAATTTATCATCCAAGGAAATTCATTGATGATTTCATTCATGATTTCTACAGATTAGTGTTGAATTCCGACTGTGGTGACTTCAACTCAGAATTCATAGCAGATAGAATTGCTATGTCTTTGTCAGATTTGCTACAGTTCAAGGAAGCCGACGCTAGAGAGAGCCGTTAAGATGGTGAGTAGGTAGAAGTCCAGAAGCAATATGGATCAACAAGGGAGAAGATCAACAATATCACAAGAGATCAGTAGAATCCATTCAGTTCTTAAGATACAAAACCACAAACGATGTGTGAGAAACTAATGCAGTGATTAGGACAGGCACCAGACACTAAAAGTTCTTGTCAGTGCTGTGGAGCAGAGAAACCTCACAGGCACAGGAAATACCTAGCTATTAAAAGTGCATGCTTCGTCTGTCATGCAAAATATGGCTTTCAGAAAATATGCAAAAGTGGAACACCGTTTCAGAAGAACAAGAAATCAAATAGCTAGAACAGTCTACAACAGAAAGAAAATCTAAAGTTTTTATGGGAAAATAGATGATCTAAACTTTGTGTGTTCACAAGCTGAAAGTTTTGTCAATAAAAATCTCGCAAATTTCAAGTTAAGCACTAGTGCGAGTGTTACTATATTGTTAGATAATGAGCCATAATTAAGAAGTCACGGTCTACAGCTAAGAACAATGCAACTACATAGTTCAGGAGGCACAGCATTTAAGATTAATGGTATGTTGCAAGCAATTCTCTAATACAGTGGACTCCAAATAGTAGAAACCCTATATGCATTTCACAAACAAGAATTCTTGCTCTTGAGTAGGAAGTTGTGTTTTGACCTCAATCATCTTCAAATGCTGGAAGGGTTGAACCACATAAGATTAAGGAACAACTTGTCAAGAAACAACCAGTGTAAATGACAGAGGTAGAAGATTTCATAAGGCTGCCTAGACTCATGGCAGAACCTAAACAAGAATCAGAATCCATTAGGATTAGTTGTGTTGGCGTAAGAAATCTGTCTCATACTGCCAACAGTATTAGCACAAATATTTTCCACTGCTATCAACACTGAAGAACACTCAGACTGCAAGAGCCAGTAAAGTTTACAAGGAGAAACAAAGAAAAGTCAGTGAATATCTTACGCCACTTGAATCAATTGACAAATCTATATCTGATGTAACTCTGAGTGCAACACAGTTTGGTGGAACAAGTAACTATGACAGGTTTAATTCTCATGCTAGATGCTCAGGGGACTCAGAAGAGGCAAGTTCAAGCAAAATATTACCTTCCCAGGAAGAATCCTGGGATCACGTAAAGCCAGAAGCTAACTTAAAACAGCAGAACTGAACAAATGAACACATTGGAATCACCAATAATATAATCACTGAGAGTGAATGAGAGAATCCAAATTAATCAACATGTTGAAGTAAAACGTTTACATAGTTCAACACAAACCTGCAGATGGGTTCAGAGTTAAAATCTGCTGACACAGATTGAAGATGTGATGTATAAGACTCCATGAAAGTTCACTGACAAGGGACAACCATTGTCCAATCATTCAAGATACTGCAAAGATAAAATTGCCTATTTCAGCAGGTAAGTAAATTGGTCATAGTCCACAGTCTCTACTGCTAACTCAGGGCAGGAGAACTTATTGGAGGGTCCTGGAGCAGAGGAATTGCCCACCAGAAGTTCAAACTGTCCAGCCAGTTCTCATGAAGTCCTTGCACTGGGACTTCCAAGGAAGTATTTTTGACCCCACTTAATATCTAGAGGGATGCAGCTTCGGTCCAACATTTCATTCAAAGGATGGCACCTCCAACAATGTAATTTTCCTTCATTACTGCACTGAAGGAGCAACCTTTATTGTGTTCCTGGATGGTAAAAAGTAAAGTTGCCAGAGAAACAAATGGTGGTGAGTTTAATCTGAGGGTCACCACACCTCAGGTGAGGGATGAGATTGAGAAGGCAGGACCTTCATGGAAATTTCAGCCAGTGCAGGATTTGAACTCCCCCTGTTGGTGTCAGTCTGCATCACAAGTCAGCAGTTGAGGTAACTGAGCTAGCTGACACTCCGTCTTGGATGGATGGTCTAATGCAGTAAAAAGAATATTACTTTTGTAGCAAACTGACACCCGGTGCTTTGAATATCTTAATTTTCTCCTACTTATAAATGTGGGTGTTTTGCCTCTGTTTTGACATAGGCACTGCGGGTTTCTGCACCACGTTTACTGCAGTAGTTTAAGAAGGTGGACCACCTTCTCTAATGCATCTAGGTCCTCAATCACTGGCTTTTTTGTCCTGAATGCCTACGAGCCATTAAAGAATGAAAGAAACATGAGACTAGAGACTTTCTTCAAGACATCTTTTAATATAACCTGTTGTTTTCTGACTTTGCAGCCACCACGACCTGGTGACTTGGCTGTTATTTGTTTCACAAGTGGAACCACAGGCAAGTAGTACTGGAATTGATGAGTCATGTTCTGCTTTTTCTGAGTGGATATTCGCAGTTTCCAAGGTCAATATGCTGTTTCCATTGGCAACAAAAGTCATAAAGCTGTATTCCGAATTAAACAGTTACAGAAGTCCCAGTTATTTTTCATGCTTCACCCAAATTAGTTTTGTGCTGAAAAATACATAAAAACTATTCTGCATTTTGTAGTTTATTGTGTTATATCCACTCAATGCCTCATCTCTTAAAATAATTGAAAGATATATATCCTATTTCATTATATTTGGGTCCGATTCTAACAGTGGCCTGATGTTAATTTTATAAGTTAATGGATCATTGTTCCCCTTCCAGGAAATCCTAAAGGAGCAATGCTGACGCATAGAAACATCATATCTAATTTCTCTGCATTTGTGCAAGTCACAGAGGTAAACAGCAGGTGCTATCATCATGCCTTGTATTTCAAAATAGCATCTGTATTTTGCGTTTTTTATGTTTTGCAAGTGTCATGTAAGTTGATTTGATGGGTATGATATTTTCCAAGTGAGCATGAACAATAATTAATATGAAATATTTTAGGTGAAAATAATTTTACATTGAATTTCGAAAGTGCCTTGTTGATTGATTGTTGTCACATGTACAGAGATACAGTGAAATTTTACCTTTATTTACTTGGCATTTCAAATGGTAAATTTGATATGCCTTGGATCTTACTCAGTCTCCTGTGGCATTAAATGTTTAATGAGTTGCTTGTTTTATAGAGTGCTCTTTTTCAAGCGAGTTGCATTGATTGTAGAGAGGTCAAAGCTGGTATTGCAAGAACTGCTATAGAGTGTCTATAAACATCACTGCGCAATTCTGATGAAAGTGATTCAAACATGGAGAACTTTTGATGAAACTATTTCTACTGGTCAATGAATTGGGCATAATTATACAATCACTAGCAAAAGATTGATTGCAAAGTTAGAATAAATTATTGTAATTGTGTTGTTGCCACATGGCATGTCAAATCAAAAGCAGAGCCTATAGCAGTTTCTAAAGGAAAATAATTAAATATTTAGAAATACATGGCAAATGAGATGAAGCGGTACTTTTAGATATCACAGCTGTGATGAACTGGACACCCTTTTTCTGTGCTGCAGAATTCTCTGGTTCTAAGTATATATTGAAAAGTTTGTGTGATGTAAACAATAAGCAGTAGTTTATGCATGTATAAGAGGTCAGTTTTTTGCATTAATATTCTGAGGTAATTAGTCAATGGTACTCTTAAGTTTTAATGATTCAACAATATGACTAAGAAGAGAGAACTTCAGAAGTAAGTTTTCAAGATTTCCTTTTTCCTGTGCTTTGATTTTTACTTTCAACTCAAACATGGATGCACCTATCTTATCCTGTCTTCTTTCCTTTCACTTCATTATCTGTCATCCTCCATAATCTTGCAGAATGTGAATGTCCCAACTCCAGATGATACTCTAATATCTTTCCTGCCTCTGGGTCATATGTTTGAAAGATTGGTGGAGGTAGGTCTCTTTAATTAACTCGAGCTGAGTTGTGTGTTGTGTCTTTACAGGGACAATGGGTGGCATCACCCTCTGACATACATATTTCCTATTTACCACTTGCACACATGTTTGAACGTTTGGTGCAGGTAAGATACAAAACTTCAGAAACCTAAGCTGTATTTCATAATATAGAATAGTTATTTACGAGAGGTGGTGGTGTAGTGGCAATGTCAGTGTTCTAATAATCCAAAGACCCAGGCTAATATTGATAATGAGATTGGCACAAACATTTTCCTCTGCTCACCATTGGTGGGTTTGAATCTCATCATGGCAAAACTTTGAATACAAGAAAAGAAACTGGATTTTTTTAAATCAAAACTAATCTCATAGTGACCATTATCGGTTATCATAAAAAACAATTTATTTCCCTAATGTTCCTTAGGGAAGGAAATCTATCCTTACCTGGTCTGGTCTGCATGTGACTCCAGACACACAACATGGTTGACTGTTAACTGCCCTCTGAAATGGTGTAGTAAATCACCCAGTTCAAGGACACCTAGGGATGAGAAATAATGCCACACACATTTCCCATACAAGAATAGAAACATAGTTAAGAAAGTAAGTGCTCAGTTCGCTCCAGCAGTTGGTAATATTTGTATAGCATGAGTTTGTAGCGACAGAATATGTCCAAACTTTAACTTTGCAGCATTTTAAATCTGTGACCATAGTCACAGGCCAGTAAATTCCACCTTTTAGGTCTGTACAGTAGTTTAATTAATGGTACATTTAATATAGCACCTCAAATATGTGGCTCCAATGAATTCCTTGTCAAAGATTAGTAAAGGTATAATGTAGAGAAATAAATGTTCATAATTGAAATATTTTTTGCATGAGTTTCATATAATATTTAATAGACGTTTTGATATCCTCACAGAAAATGGGCATATTTGCTTCAAAAATATATTTTGTTTGGTGAGCCGTTCCACTTCCATATCTAGCAGCTGTTGAGAGGATCTGTGCATGTTTGGTTTTAATAGAAAAACTTGGAGGGAATCATTAGGGATTTAAACAATTATGGATTAGACCATAGGACCATAAAATATAGGATCAGAATTAGGCAATTCGGCCCATTGAGTCTGCTCCACTATTCGGCCCATCCAGTCTGCTCCATTTGATCATGCTTGATCTGTTTCTCAAAGCCATTCTCCTGCCCTCTCCCCTTAACCTTTAAACTCCTTGGTATTTGCATTATCACAAAGGTTTAATACATTCTCAGTAAAGAATTTTCAATAGTTTGAATGTACATAAAAATGAATTTTCAATAAATGATTGTCCATTATCTGCCTCGATAAATTGACAGTAAGTTTGCACTACCATTTGTTTTATCGATTTGGCCAAGATTATTTATTAGATTAAATGTGATTAAAGATGGATGAAGTTTACCGTGGTTGACTTAGAACTTAATACGATAGAACTTAGTAGTAACTACGAATTCTAAAAAGGAATTTAAAATAAACTTCTTTACACAAAGAATGGTGAGAATATGGAACTCTCTACCACAGGGACTGATTGAAGCAAATAGTACAGGGGAAAACTAGGGATGGGGGA